AAATGTAGTGACGTGGAATGTCCACAAGCTTTAGAGTAAAACAGGTAAACAGGTGCTTGAATTTCAGCGTTGTTTGTTTTTGTGTTATCTTAAGCAAACTATTTAGGCCCTCTAACCCCTTTCATTCTGCAAAACAAATAAGAATTTTGGCATAGTAAGGAGTTGTTGTGAGAAGGATAATGTATATAATAGGCCTTGGTGCAATCTAGGTGCTGGGTGATTATTACCTTTCTCCTCCCCAGCTGCCAACTCCTGTAAGTTTTCTTTCTTTTTCTAGACCCACCAACTTTTGGACTACACGGCAGGTCTACATGGCAGTGAGGGGATGGATGGATGAATGGATGTTTTCCCGATTCCATGATAAACCAATCAAATAAGTAATGTAAGGATTCACTGAGGCTTAGAATCCTCACTTCTTCAAAATTTATAAAATTTAGAAATTTCTCACATTATATTATTAATGTTCATGGGACATAGCCTACACTACTTTTGCTTAATTTTTATTTATTTTCTTCAAAGTTATTTTGGGACCAAACTTGAAAGAAAAATTATTAGAGTACTCTTCCTCCCCCTGCTGGCCATAATATAGCAATACTATATTGAACAAAATAACCAGTTTGTCGGGGCATCAATTCTGACTCATGGTGACACCGTCTGTGTCAGAGTAGAACTGTATCCCATAGGGTTTTCAATGGCTGGGTTTTCAGAGATAGATCGATCACCAGGCCTTTCCTGAGAGGTGCCTCCGGGTGGATTCAAATCGCCAACCTTTCGGTTAGCAGCCAAGCATGTTAACGGTTTGTACCCGGTGAACAAAATTATCAAATGTCAAAACTGAAAGGAAACTTAAACAGTATCTATTCCAGCAATTGGCTACTCACAGATCAACCTTGGCCTACAGATGACTGGTGTTTGGCCTATGTAGTATTAAAAACAAACAAAACAAAACTTTGAATTAGTTGCCAACATTTCAGATGTCCATATTTCTGTGTTTTCTGAAAAAAAAACTAGAAGTTCGTGCCCCATTGGGCCTGCCATCCTTCATGGCAAGAATTTAGAGCTAGTGTTTCCTGCTCCCTTTGGACAGGGGTTTTACTCCACTCTATCACAGTCCCCTTTCAGTACTCTTCACTAACAGTTACCTGCTCAGCTCCTCTAAAGTTTGCAGCCCAAAGCTCCCTTAATCTATCAGTGTATAAACTGAAGCCCAAATATGCTGAGAACCATACCACCTAATCAGTAGCAAAGCAGATAATAAAATTTGGGTCTTCTAAATTCCATTCAACAGATGTTTGTTGATTTCATTTACGTATTTATTAAACAAATGTTTGAGTGCCTATTATGTACCAGGCACACAGTAAGTGCAGAGGAGATGGAGTATACAAGAAAAAATGGTCTTTGCCTTCAGAGTTTACTGTTAGTGGGAAAAGACAGGTATTTACAAGAAATGTGATGAAAGAAGGGCTAAAGGGACTACGGTGATGCCGTAGCACAGTTCCTGCTCACCAGCTAGTTCATCATCATAGTGGTAGATATAGTATGAATATCATTAAGATTTGCTAAATAATGTCCTCAAAATCTAGGGTCCACATTTAATCAACATTCATTGGGCGTGAGTGTTAAGCTTTAGGAAAACAGAAGTAAACAAGGCAGATATTAATTTTTCTTCCATGAATGTCCTCTAAAATAGTCATTGTCACCCTCTTCCCTGTTCCTCCTGGCTGTGGAATTACCATCTGTAATCAACGTGCCAGGTTAAGGGCAGTATCACCATCAGTAATAGTTTACAATATGGTGAACGAAGGTGGGCAGTAGCTGCTGAGCAAGCGACTTCTCTGCAGAAATCAGAGTCGGCTACAGATTGAGCAATGGGAATAAGGGATTAAAGCTAAACTAAGAAGAGAGCAGAAAGCAGTCTTGGTCAGCAACACTTATGATACTATACTATAAAAGTGAAAGAGATTACCTTTGTATCTAATTCACAAACATTACTCAAACAGGTCCTTTGAAACTTGGGCTCCTTGGAGAAGTGGCCAATTCCAAATCTGAGGCAGAAAAAAAAGTACAAGGTCAGCCTAAGATACCTTATTGGGCCAGAAAGCAAGGGAACATTCAGAGACTAGTGATGGTTATGGCAAAAGGATTCAGGACTCTTGAAGATAACTGATAATAGATTTTAACTTCTTGAATAAAGCAAAATCCATGAATCCATAGTGATGGAGGGGAGGGGGGAAAAGGGGAGTGAGGAGAGAGAGAGACAGTGTGACTTTCTTGATAGAATGCCCAGTAATAAATGAACAATAAATGACAGAACTGAAAATCACCATTTTGTAACCCCCAATGTAATAATTCAGACAATCATCAATGGATGCCAAATCCACTGGGTAAAAGATTAATGATGCTGCCAACATATCACCTTAGACATGACGATGGAGAGATTTGCTAGTCACCCCATTAACCAAGTGTCATCACTAGCAGTGGACAAATTGACATTGTATGCCTCCTGACTTGATGCAGTAAGTACACAACAACTAGACTCAACTTGATGGAAAATACAGATACCAGTTAGCATGAAGAAACAATCATACAAATCCAGAATGTGGGACATTCTAATCTGAATTCTTCAAAAGTCACAAAAGGATGAGGGGACTATTCTAAATTTAAAAATGATCAGAGACATGCTATAACCAAATACAACAGGTGAATCTGGACTGGATTCTAGAATGGTGGAAAAAAAACTTTAAATGACATTCTTGAAACAACATGGGGAAAAATTTGAATATGGACTGAGAATTAGATATTACAAAATTATTGATTTTCTAGGTGATAAAGTCTTGTAGTTAGCTGAAGAATGACATTATTCTTACAGATGCACTTTGAGGCAAAGTGTCATGATTACTTACAAATGGTTCAATTAAAAAATTACTTAGAGATAATGTGGCAAAAAGTTACCAACTGGTGAGTCTAGATGGTTACATGTGTGTTCACTGAACTCTTATTTGTCTGTAATTTTTTTAATTAAAAAAATTCATTAAAGGTTAAGTCTAAAAAATCTACATATTAAGAAAAAAAAGGAGAATTCATTAACTAGATACTAGACAAGTGTTAACTTTGGTGAAGGGAAAGACAACACACAATATAGGGGAAGTCAGCAGCACAAGTTGACCAAGGCAAAGTCATAGAAGCTTCCTAGACACATCCAAACACCTTGAGAGATCGAGTTACTGGGGCTGAGGGCTAGGGACCATGGTCTCAGGGGACACTCTGGTCAACTGGCATAACATAGCTCATAAAGAAAATGTTCTACATCCTACTTTGGTGGGTAGCATCTGGGGTCTTAAAAGCTTGCGAGCAGCCATCTAAGATACATCTATTGGTTCCATCCCATCCGGGGCAGAGGTAAATGAAGAAAACCAAAACACATGGAAAATATTAATCCAAAGACTAACGGACCACATGAACCACAGCCTCCACAGCCTGAGCCCAGGACAACTAGATAGTGCCTGGCTACCGCCACCAACCATTCTGCAGGGATCACAATAGAGGGTCCCGGACAGAGTGGGTGAAAAACATACAACAAAATTCACAAAAAAAAGACCAGACTTACTGGTCTGACAGAGACTGAGGAACCCTCAAGACTATGGCCCTCGGACACCCTGCTAACTCAGAACTGAAACCACTCCCAAAGTCCACCTTTCACCCAAAGATACAGACAGGCCTAAAAAACAAACAATAACACAGGTGAGGAACATGCTTCCTAGTTCAATAAAGTATACAAGACCAAATGGGCAACACTTGCACAAAAGCAAAGATGAGAAGGTAGGAAGGGACAGGAAAACTGGATGAATGGACACGGAGAGCTCAGGGTGGAAAGGGAAAGGGGGAGAGTGCAGACAAATTGTGGAGATTGCAACCAATGTAACAAAACCATTTGTGTATAAATTTTTGAATGAGAAACTAATTTGCACTGTAAACGTTCACCTAAAGCCCAATAAAATTAAAAATTGGTTAAAAGTCTAAAACAAAATCTTAAAAATCTACATAATAAGAAAAAAAGGTGGGTTTTTTGATTCTCCATAGTCACAAAGTTGAGGAAACAAACTAACATTAGAATAAAGCTGATCACTTTCAAGACTTGCATTTAGGCATTCAAAATGTTTCTGAAATTTGTAAAACATGCAAACCACTATGTTACAAACTGAAGTAAAAAATATCAGGACCTAAAATAAATTACATATACATTATTACTTTCACTATTTAAAAACTTACATTTTTATGAGTTTTAATATGTTTTTCTACCTTTCCCAAGCATATTGTAATCATCTTATTTTTCTACTTAAAATAACCATACTTCTAACTAAGTCTAAGAGTACATTCTCAACATAAAATAATGTCATTAAAATAAAAGGCTGACCCAAAAATAACTTGAAATGGACCACAGACCTAAATGTAAAAGCTAAAACTATAAAATTCCTAGAAAAAAACAGTAAGTTTTTGCAAATTTGAGCAAAAATTTCTTAGGACACAAAAAACATAAGCTATAAAAGAAATTATTAATAAATCAGAGTTCTTCAAAATTTTTGTTCTCCCAAACATCCCATTAAGAAAATGAAAAGACAAGTCACAGACTGGAAGAAAATACTCGTAGTACACGTCTGGACAAATGATCGATGGCCATCATCTCATCTGAACTAGTTCAACAGCCTCCTAACTGATCTTCCAGCCACCATTTGGGCCCTGCAATCCACTCTCCATACAGCAGCCAGACTGAGCTCTAAAATATGCAAATTTGATCATATTTGCCAGCTCAAAATCCTCCCATGGCTTCCCATAGTATGTGGAATTAAATCTATACTTCTTTCCCTGGCAAAAGGCCTGCATTCCCACCCTTCTAGGACCATCTTCTAGCTCCTGCTCCCCACTAACACACTGTTCCTGCCACACTCGCCTCCTTTCTGTATTTTGCTCATACTAAAAGCTCATTCTGACTTTCGGTCTTCGCGCTTGCTATTTCCTCTGCCAGACACTCTTCCCTTGCATGGCTGACTAGCTTTCTTCTTGTCACAGTTCAAATGTCACCTTCTCACTAAGGCATTCCAGAGGTGTCACTTTATCACTATACCCTAGTTTACTTTCTTCAGCCAACTTACCCTAATTGAGTTTATCGTATTTATCTATAGTTTTTCTCCCCTACAAAAATGTGAAATCCATAAGAACTTCGTCCACTGATACGTGTCCAGCATATAGTGCTTGGGACACAGTGGGTGCTTCAAAATATCTGAATGCTTCATGAATACCTACTATGTGCCAGACACTGTTAGGTACTGGCTAAGTAGTCTGGGCTGCTCAAAGATTTTTTTCATCCTATTACCCCTTTAGGAAAAAAGAAAATTATATTTCTAGATTCATTTAAATAGCTGAACACTTCTTAGTGTTCTCAAGAGGCCAATTTACTTTCAAGGAAAACTGCAAAACCGGATTTCATCTATATGTAGGATCAGAGCTTTGGCTAAATGAAAATGTTCATACTATTTTGAACAACTCACACCCACCAACGTGACTAAAATGAAAGAAACAAAAAAATGTAAAGTGCTAGTGAGGACATAAAGCAACTGCAACTCTCCTTAATTTATACTGCTGGCAAGTGTAAATTAATCCCTTTGGAATAATGTTTCACAGTATCTACTAAAGCAAAACATATGCGTGCCCCATGATCCAACAATTCCATGCCTTGGTATATACCCAAAAGAAATGCATACATAATGTTCACTGAAAGATACGGACAAAAATATTCATAGCAGCACTATCTGTAATCTCAATCGCCAAAAACTGAAAACTACTCAAATGTCCATCAACAAAATAAATTCTGGTATCTGCACACAAAAGAATACTGTCCAGCAATAAGAATAAACCACAACTATACACAACACAGACGTATCTCACAAGTAAAATGTTGAACGAAAGAAGCTAGACACAAAAGAATGCATATAACTCAGTTAAAGTTTACTGAGATAGATTGAGTATACGTATTCTTTACTGGTGTGTTCCAGTGAAGTGCTCTCAAAAAAGCTTTTCTACTGATGCACCTGTCTAAAGTTAGATCCTTGAACTGTAGGGGTGTTTGAGGACACAGCCAAAACTGGCCTACTATAATCACATTCTTTTGAAGTCTCATGTTCTATGTATTTTAAAAATTCATGTGAATTCCATATTCTTCATCCATGCATACTGAACAAAAATATTTCCTTCAAAAAATATTTGAGCAAACTTAATGGTCACGGAAGATGGGTCATGCCTATTCTGTGGTTGCAGGTACTTCTGGTACACTGCCTCAAACTTCAATTTAAAAAGAACTGGTGGAAGGTAGATTAGTTATGGTCAGATGGCCTAGTTCATATCTCAGATTAACCATTCATTAATGGTGTGATTTTGGACAAGTTACCTAGATTTTTTAGCCTATTCCCTCATTTATATAATGAAATTAATAATACGTAACTCACAAAGTGGTTTTGAAAATCAAATGAGATGACATAAGTCAGGTACTCAATGTTATTAACCTTTTCCTCTCCCTACCCTGTAAGCATAACTGGGGTGGAAAAAAAGTCAACAAGCTGTTTGCTGCAATATATATATTTTAATTCAAAGTGAATCGACAGTAATACACCATAAATTCTTATTTTGACACTCACCAAAAGAGTCACCTGGAAAACCCGCTTTTTGTGACAAAGTACAGAAGGCTTGGTCACATTTAAATCACTGAGAACTAGAGAGAAATACTATAGCAAACTGTAATAGACATTACATCCATAAAAATTTTTCCCAGTCCTTATTGTAATATTGCACAGTGCAACTGCTACATGGCAAACTAGTGTAGCATAGAAGTAAAAGCAAAAACAAACAAACCAAAGAAAAAAAGCCACAGTCTAAAATTGTTAAACAGTTAACAATTCAAACTTAGTAATCAAACCTATATCATTGGGTTTATTAAAACAAATCTTCCTACACCTTGCAGTGTATGATTTAACTTTTACTTAACACAAACCAAGTTTAAAATTAGTAGTAGATTTTAAAAATGAAAAAGATTTTGCTAATACAGTAGCATATTTACTTAAATACCCTGAAGGAAAAACAAACTAAGTATCAGGATATTTTATAAAAACTAATTTGCAAATTAAAATAGTATGCAAATACGCAATTCGGAAGTCATGCAGTGTTTTATTTAAGAAAGCGTTAAAAACCAAAGAAAACTGGTAAAAATGGTTTTAAAGATGGTATTACCCAGATTCTTTTATCAGTATGTGAAATTCAGGCTTAAGCAGGATTTTGAAATTTTTTTCTTTTAAATACATAAAAAGCCCATGATTATAATCAATTAAGAACAGCGTACTTAACTGGAGTCTGCCTTTATCGAACATTACTATTGGATTATGAAAATGTTGACGTTTACCATTTACTGTCAATTTAACAAGACTATCTCAGTCTTAGAACTTAAATACAGACATTTCAGGGAACATGTGAACGTGGCTCTGAATAAAAAGAAAACTGCACCAGTTTTGTACTTGGTGTTTCTGAAACATCCATTACGAGCACTAGATTTTGTTTCCAAGAGTGAGCAGATGTCAATAATCTGCTGGACCATATAAATAAAATCAGAAGGCTGTGGAGGGCAGCAAGTTTACTTAAACAATGACTCCATAAATTTGTCATCCGTACATAATATTTTAAATTAATCAGGCTACTCCTTTTTTTTTTAATGTGTATTATATAGATATATATATTTATTTATTTATATTTATATAAAATGCATAGAATTGATTACTAAAAACACTGAAACTTGTGGGGAAAATTAAGTCCTTCATTTTCAGTGTGACTAAAAATGTACTGCTGGTTTTTATTTTATGATCTAATACTGTAATCTTAAAAATCAATATCAGGCACATTTATTTCATTGATGATTATTAAATAAAACACTGCTTGTGTTAATGGAGTAAAGAAAAGTTTATCCATTATTAGCTTATTGTCAGAGCTGTCCTGGAGCTGTATTAGTGGTATGCAATTCATTCATCAAAGAAATGCTGTTAAGTTCAAAACATTTGGAGAGTTTTACACTCAAATGCTTTGTACTCTTTATTCCAGTAAATGCTGTAAGATTACATTCCAGATTTGAGGAAAAAAAGTTAAGTCAAGCCTGCAAGATACAGCTTTCTGAAGTGTCTACAATGCCAGTATGAAAATAAAATATTAAGTTACATTGATACAACCAAGTTTTTTTTATATGCAGTGATGAGCACAAACATTAATAGAGATAAAATACTGATGCAAAAACACACCCCAAAATAACATATGCAATTATTTTCCATCATTTACAATACAGTAGTTACAATGACACTCCAAACAGAAAAGCAAAGTAAAAAATCAAAACCCCAACTTCTATTTCATATAATTAGACTTATACAGAAATTAGAAGGCTAAATAACCACTAGTTAATCACCTAATTTCACAGCTATCTGAAGTGGCAATCATTATATAGCAGCTTATCTATGATACATTCAAGATAAATGATACAATTTATTACTTGCCCATAAGCTAAAACACAGCCTCAGTTTAATACCTTTCCTTAAATTCCATCTCTACACTACAATATACTTGAGGTCTACACAAAAAGTAGCTACCTTTTATATAGGAAATGGATGATTAAGTCTTTGGTGCTGTAAAAACAACTTCATTGAAACATAACTACCACTACAATTTAAAAAAAAAAAAACAGAATAGAAGGGAAAAACCCAAGAAACACTTCCTAGGGGGGAAAAAAAAAAGCATGTAATTTCTGTCCCTGACGGAATGTATTAAATAAGCAAACACCACCAACAAGCAAAACAAATACAACGTAAAAATATTTTTAAAAAAACAAAACAAAAAACCTCACATGCATAAATGAAAAATTGCACACAAAGAACTCACATCTTTTCAAGCTTCAATAGTAAATATTCTGCTACTATTTATTAAATACTGCATGGTTTGCCCGAGCTAAGATGAAACCACGTCATGAATCAATGAGCATTTTGCATTTTCTTTCATTATCTATCCAAAGTCATGCCTACTGCACCGCTAAACATTTTTAATCCAATTATACATACAGCAAACACTCCCAAAATAAACCTAGATTGTACTGCAGTTTCACTTAACAGTATATAAAATGCTGTGTTGTGACAGTTATCAACTATCCATTAGATACTGACTCAATTTTTCTTAAGCACTACTAACTGCTTGCTTTTCTTGAAGCTAGATCATTCTGAAAAATCAGACAGCAGAATTTAGCTATAGCAAACATGCTGCCCTCTTAATAAGGAAAAAATAGCTACTACCCAAAATCATACCACACAAAACCAAAACTGAACATTACTCTATCAAAAAAAAGTAAAGAGCAGGTCTGAATTTTAAGTGCTGCAGTCCTCAACATTTATAATAGGTAATAACATTAACAACCTCAAATATTTAAGGCACTATGTGTGGGAACGGTTTACAATGCAGCTGAGATTATTAGAACAACATTTAAGAGCAAAGTCTAGGCAACATTTTGCCCATGCAAAAGACACATGCAAATGTAAAGAACAATAGCTCAATTTCTCAGGTAAGTGACCCAACATTTATACACTAAGACAGAGATAATACAATTCACTTATATGCTGTAATTCTGACATATGTGCATCTGTTGCTCCAAGTCTGTACACAGAATGGCTTCCCAAATGTGGACGTGTCTTGCACTAGTTAGAAGGCAATTTTATAAAAAATAGCAGGAGCAAAACTGGACTTCTGCTCCCATAAGTCACCTGTCTAGAGTTACTACATAAGAAGATAACATGACCAAAGACAAGTTATACCAAATGTGCAAAACACATTAAAAGTGAGTTTTTTTTTAAAGCTCAAAGTTGTTTAAATTGCACCCAAGTCTACATGATTCAAAAATAATTTTCTTGTGCCATGGCTAATATTTATTAAATACCATGTTTTTATTTTTAATCAAATGTTTATATCATTGAGCTTCCTCAATATACTGTTTTGAGTTTTCACATATATGGATACTGGCTGAGTTTTGTTGGACTCAATGGAAATCCAGTATATGCAGGTGATGCTGCAATGTAAGAATGTGGTGGGAAGATTGGTTTGTACTGAGTCTGATGAATGGTTGGGGATGGTAACAGACGGGGGTTTATGCCCACTGGGACTTGGTGAACTATGCCACTGGGATGGGAGAGATTATAGGTTGGATGCTGTAACATGGGTCTTGAGGTACATGGAGAGGCTAAGAGGTGGGCCACTGGTGCAGCACTACTGAGGGCAGCTGATGATGGGTATGGAAGCAGAGTAGCCTGTCCTCCGAGGTGAGTATTTCCAGCCAGATGGGCATGCACTGCTGTGTGACTGGGACTTCCGTGAGAAAGGGTAAATGGATTGCTCGTAACACTAGTAGGGATGTAAGCTTGCTGTCTTCGATGCCCGAAGTTTCCATTCCACTCTTGATGCCCAGATCCAAAGTGCTGAACCTGTCCACAACGAAGAAATGACTGAGTAACATATTTTATAAGTTAAAAAGGAAAGGAAATTACAATACAGTCACTGTTACTACTGATAATTCACAGAGGATCTCTTAGAACTAGCTTATACTAAGTGTAAGTAAAGAAGCAAAAATATCAATTTTATATATATATTAGTATTAACATTTTATATTTATTACTACACACTATCATAATATTAACACTGCTACTACTCCTGCTAGTACTATTACTATCACCAGCACAACTAAAGACTACCATTTATGGAGCACTTATTATACGTCAAGTTAAAAACTGCACATACACAGCTTTATTTAATTCTAAAACAACCCAATGATGTCGTTATTATTCCCATTAATATGTAGCCCAGATTTGTTGAAGAGACCTAGCCAAGGTCAGATAAGTAGTATTTGGCAAAATCAGGATTTGAAGCCAGGTCTGACTCCAATACCTGTGATCTTTTGTTTCCCCAATTAAAACACAACTGCCAAGCACGGTGCTGAACAGATGAAAAGTATTCAATCAGGCTGGATGATGACTACCACTAACATGTAAGAAACACATCAATCCATTAGTGTACACGCTGATTTAACAGGTCCAAGACAACACACTAAAAAAAAATCTGAATCTAAAATACCTAATTTGTCTGAAGAAGAATTCAAGTTCTACGGATAATCTGCTTAATCATCTTATTATTAGGCCTATTACTTTTTAGTCACTTGGGATAATGATAAAGGAAAAATTTATTAAGACTGCACAGTTTCAGAATCCTTGTTTCCCCCAAGTGAAAGACAACTGCTAAACCTGAATCTCAACACTCTTACAAATTAACAAACAGACATACCTGACTGAAGTTCAAATGTTGCTGCTGGAATGCTGACGTCAATTTCTGCTGACGACCACCCACTGCAGAAGGCTGGTTTAATCTTCCAGGAATGGATCGTCCTTTTATTAATGGCCGGCATGCAGAATCTGGCGACAAACAAAATATTACAGAATTGATGCTTTTTCCTTCTCTAAGAAAAATTAAAATAAACTTTATGTATTTTACATGATAGTAATTTGAGAACCTTAAAATTAAATAAAAAGAAAAGATAGCTCATGTTTCCAAGCACTGGATGGTAAGAGATTTCTTCTGGATAACAGACGTGGCGGGGTCAAGTTGGAGATTGAGAGATGACTTTTGGCAATGATGTTCTCTGACGGTCATAAATTAAGACCTTTTAAAGAACAATCAGAGATATAAAGAGGATTCAGCTTACCTGTGTTTGCCATATGCTCAGCATTTAATCCATTTTCTAATCCCATTGGTGGCACCACAACAGTACAAACAGCTGGTTTGGTTTTTGTGTCAGCAGAGGTTACCAGGTCTGTGTTCTGATGAGAGTTCGCCACAAAACTGCTCTCTGCAAATGGACTGTCATGCCCTGAAGACTCTGATGCTGGAGAGCCATCCACAGTATCACAACCACTTTCTTGCTCTTCATCTGACATACTACATCAAGAAAGCATTTTTATGAACAATATTTTTTCCAACATTAAATCTAAAGTTAAATAATATCCAGGCTCCAGAAAACTGATAAGGATCTTAATCAGTTTTGTATCTAATTACACCTTTGTCTTTGTCCAAAACATTTATTCAAAGAATTTCTAGACCATCACATTAATTCTCTATTCAGACTACTAACCCTAAGTCTTCAAGAACATCTTTTTGGCCCTTAATTTTCTCTCATTGATTCTTTCTACTTTCCACTTGATCCTTAGTAGCAGTTCATAAAATTCCCCTTTAGGACTAATCGTCCACAGCTACCAAGGCCTCCACCGGACTGAGTCCACTACAGCTAGATGGTGCCTGGCTACCACCACTGACTGCTCTCACCAGGATCACAACAGAGGGTTCTGGACAGACCTGGAGAAGGATGTAGAGCATAATTCTAACTCACACATAAAAAAAGACCAGACTTACTGGCCTGAAGGAGACTGGAGAAACCTCGAGAGTATGGCCCCAGGCACCCTTTTAGCTCAGTGGTGAAGTTACCTCCGAGGTTCACTGTTCAGCCTGGGAGTGGACAGCCCCGTAAAACCAAATGAGTCTAACGAGGTACAGGAGTCCAGTGACAAGGGCAAGAAGGCAGAAGGGGACAAGAAAGCTGGTGATAGGGAACCCAAGGTTGAGTAAGGATATTGTTGATGTGTTGTGAGACTGTTAACCAT